ANANGAGAGAGAGAGAAAGAGAGAAAACAATGCAATAGGAGAAGGGGAAAGAAGTTCATCCTCCATCGGATAAAATTCACATGTCCACTCCACGACGTATAGAAATTATAATATCTTTAAAAAAAAAAAAAAAAAAAAAAAGAAAATACGAAAAAAGAAAAAGAAAAGAAGAAAAATGCTCTATGTAATTATGATTTCTAATTGCGCTAGATTAACGATATCTCGAATTATAATGTCTAAGTATAATATATATATATATAAATATACATATAAATATATATATATATAATACTGTCTATGACTTACGATAATACAGCGGACGAAAACAAGCTGGCTGAGAGAGAAAATCTGGCAGATCGTCAGCAGATGCGAAACACGCGTCTAATACAATCTTAGAGAGATGCACACGCTTGAACACGTAGGATATTAAACAGAAAAGTATTTGCATAGTCCGAATCACAAATATAGATTTAATTGAGCTCTCTCGTTATAAAGCACTGATTCGCTGATTCTTAACACAAGAAAATATACGCCGACAGCAGATATAGATTTCTGTCTCCATGCTTATTTATTTTCTTCACGCTAATTCTTCTTCCACTATTTTTATCTTTTTTTATTTTTTAATTTTCTTTTCTCTCGTAGCCATCTTGCGTTGCGAGATTTAGTGTAAGATATATTGCATAAAAAAATGACCTATTTCATACTCGCTAACTAAACTGAACCGCAGTTTAATCACGACGAGTGATAAAATAAATTACATACTTTTAATATTCGATTTTTAATATTTATAAAATTTTCTGCTTTCTTCGAAAATTATTTCTTTTTTGTACTTGTTGTATTAGTATTAATGTTGTATTTTACTATAATTCATTGATCGTATATTAATTTATTAAAATCAAGTACAAGTAATAAATATTGTTTATATTCAACGAACACGTCGTGATTTGTCTGCGTTTACTGTAATTATAAGTATTTTTACTTAACAACTTTTACTTAACGAGTGTGTGGTACACCGTAGGTTCTAGAGTATAACATATAATCCGTAGAAAACTGATCGGTGTGACTATGTGAATATGCCCTAGTATTAGACGGCAATTTACGTAGGAATAGCAGTGCAAATTATATGTATCTCTTGTCTAGAAAGGAGCTAAAAAACATGGAGATTATGTTTTTAAATCTAGATTATGCTTTATTTCATTTTATTTGTTTATGCTCCGATATATTATTAATTAGAGATACATGTATTCCGAATTTAAGTACTTACTTATATTCTCATTAAAAACAACAAGAATTACTCTAATCTTTTTTACAAATACTTGATCGATAATATTATTATATATCAAATAGAAACCATCAGTAAAACATATTTACACCGAAACTAAAATTTTATGTTTTACTATTCTGCATAAACTGTTTCAGAGTAAATTTTGCATTTTAACAATTAACATGATAGGTGCCGCATCATTTTCAAAGATTTAAAATAACATACAATAAGAATTTATAGAAACTCTCCGTGCCATTGAACATTTGGTGTACGGGAACCTCGTCCGCGATGAATTAATTAACGTGTATACTCTTTGCTACGTTGAGCGCAATTTATATTCCGCCTGAATTATTACCGTCGACCTAGATTAACAAGTATATTAACTTCAAACAAACATAAATAGTTTTACCGAAAGTCTTGCATATTGTATATACATAATTATATACAATGAAAAATCATCGTCTATGATCTTCGTACCGTGATGATTTTGTAAGGTATGCACTTGGTCAAAGCGTAAAGAATTTTTACTTCATTCCAGAGCTACTATTAATATTTCACCAAATTGGTATTGTACATGTGGCTGTAAGAATTCTTTATGAATAAAGATTGTTGTAGAAATCTGAAGACTACAATCACTTCGAACCTAATTAGTTACAGGAATAGAAAATTATATTTATAAGGAAATATATTATCTTTATTTGTACATAAAATATTTTACAAATATGTTTTAGTTAAAATACAAATAATATAAAAACTTATAAAAGTTTTATATGCTTATTAATACTTAAGCACAGCTCTTAAACTGTAATAAAAAAAGAAATAATATTTTAATATTTTAAATGATTCATTAAACAAAAATTATTGAAACTTACCAATTGCCTGAGTGCAATAAATCAAAACCTTCATTTATCTTATCAAAGGGTAGAGTATGTGTAATAAATTCATCAAGTATTAATGATTTTGACATATATTCTTTCACCAATTTAGGAACACTTTCTTTAGATTTCCAACCACCAAATGCAGTTCCTTTCCACACGCGTCCTGTTACCAATTGAAATGGACGAGTACTGATTTCTTGACCCGCCGCAGCTACACCCACAATAACGGATGTACCCCAACCTTTATGACAAGATTCTAATGCAGCTCTCTAAAAATACGATATTGATTTTTATTAATAAATAAAACCGATAAAAACAATGTTAACAAAACAGGTCCAATATTTTATTGAAAATTTTGATTTAACAATTAAAACTTACCATAGTATTCACATTACCAACACATTCAAAAGTATAATCTAGTCCACCATCGGTTAATTCTATTAGAACTTCCTGAATTGGCTTATTATAATCTTTAGGATTAATTAATTCGGTACATCCAAATTTTTTAGCTAATAAAAAATAATAATTGTTTGATAATATCTTATGTTTTATTAAAAAATTTTAATAAATTCAGTTATCTTACCAACTTCAAATTTATTTGGATTCACATCTATTCCAATAATACGTTTAGCACCAGCTCTTTTACAACCAAATGCAACTGCCAATCCAACTGCACCTAATCCCCATATAGCACATGTACTTCCAGATTCTACTTTAGCAGTATTTAAAGCAGCACCATATCCAGTAGATACTCCACATCCCAACAGAGATACTTTATCAAGTGGTGCAGTAGGATCAATCTGTTAGATAAATTTTTTTTAATAAATAATATAAATTTTAATCATTATATTTAATTATTATGATAATAATTTAATAAAATAAATATAAAATAATTATAATTATTTTATAAAATAAAAATACCTTAGCAAGAGAAATATCTGCAACTACAGTATATTCAGAAAAAGTAGAACAACCCATGAAATGAGCAAGAGTTTGACCCTTGCATGTAAATCTAGAAGTTCCATCAGGCATTACACCTTTGCCTTGTGTGGTACGGATCTTACTGCATAAATTTGTTTTTGGGGATTTACAAAATTTGCAATCCCCACATTGAGGAACATATAATGGAATCACATGATCACCTATAATTTTGATATATAAAATTATGTAATAATTATAAAATATAATATTCAATATAACGAATAATATAAAAATATAATACCAGGTTGAAATTCTGTAACTTCTTCTCCTACACTTTCAACAATACCACTACCTTCATGACCAAGGATACAAGGAAAAATTCCTTCTGGATCTAATCCATCTAAAGTATAAGCATCTGTATGACATAAAGCCACAAATATAATTTTAATTCTTACTTCATGAGCTTTTGGAGGTGCAACTTCAATTTCTTCAAGTGAAAGAGGTTGTTTTTCTTTCCATGCTACAGCAGCTTTACATTTGATTACCTATTATATAAAAAATTTTTAATTATTTAAATACATAATTTATTAATAATTACATTTATATCATCACTTTTAACTTAATAAAATAATTAAATTTATATCATTCTTAATGTAATAAAATAATATAAAAAGATACATATAATTTTTATTATTAAATAAAATTTTATAAAATTAATCGAAAGTTGACTTGATATAATCAATTTAATGTTTCAAATAGAAATAAATTGATATTTAATTTTTATTTAATCGTAATAATAACTCAAAATAATTTATCTAAAAAAAATAAATACCTTTCCAGCAGTATTTGACATAATTATAAAACTTTTAATTAACAATGTAAAATAAAAAAATTTATTAAACAATATTTTAAAAAGTATTTTTCTGAATATTTAATTTTTCTGAATATCGTACAATTTAACGATAAAATGAGGTGATCAAAGTCGTAGATGCGCGATTCTATTCGATAATAGTGGTGACATCTAGTGCTTAAAAATTCTATAAA